ATCATAAGTTATAAAATTAAAACTTATTCATATCATATTTTATCTTGTTTACAATCATTAACAAAATAATCTTACAATCTATCAGCATAATTAAATGCCAGATTGCTATATTCAAAGATGAAAAAGAAGAAATTAAAGATAATGCCTGTTCTGAATATTCTTATGAAGCAGTAACATTAGAAAAAATTTTCAGAATCAAGAATCTTATTAATAATAACCTGCATATTTCTATTAAAGAATTAACTAATGAAGTTAGTATTTCCCATGAAGAGCTGAATCTTTACAAACTCTATGTAAAATGGATTTCTCATAGGCTTTTAGAGGAATATAAATGAAATCATGTTGAACTTTTCAAGCAACTATTAAAAATTTTAGACAGAGAGTATAAAAATATTATTACTGGTAATGAAACATGGATATATTTCTTTACTATTTCAAATAAAGAAGTGAACAAGTCATGGCTAGAAAAAAATGAGAATAGGTCACAAATTGTGAAGATGGCTCAAAATTCAAAAAAAAGAATATTTTGCATGTTTTTTCTGTAATTATTATACAATTTGTGATTCCAAAAGGACAAACAGTTAATACTAACCTTTATGCCAACAAGATATTACCAAAAGTTTTTTTTGAACTTTATGGAAAAAAGGAATAAAATGACTGTTCATGATATCATGCTTCATCATGAAAATGCTGCAGCACATAAAGCAAGAATTGTAATGGAATATCTTCATAATAAATGAGTAGAATCTCTTTCTCACCTGCCATATAGTCCAGACCTTGCTCCTTGTAATTTTTTCTTATTCCCTTGAATAAAAAAGAACTAAAGAGAAAGAGATTTGATAAGGTCAAAAACTTGGTAAGGGCTGTTCAGGCAGTTGTTGAAGGTATCCCAAAAGAGGACTATGAGTACTCTTTCCAGAGTTGGCAAAATTGGCTAGAATGTTGTATAGAGTTTAATGGAGAGTACTTTGAAGGAATGAAGTAGTTGTATTGATAATTATTCCAACAGTTCTGGAAATAAATGTCCACGCGCAAAATTTTTCAGCTTCCCCACGTATAATAATATTGGTTTTATTTATTTGTTAGTTTTAAATCTTATTATATATATATAATATATATATAATATTTTGGTTAATACTTTGAAAATAACTAAAATTGTATTAATTGAACAATGAATTAATAATTAAAAGACAGATTCTTAATATATTTGTTGAAATATTAAACATTTTTGTAAATATTCTAATTTCATACATTTGTAAATAATCTTTAATATCTCAAAAATTATCTTAGAAAAAGGTATTTTTTATTGAATAATATGATTAATTTGCATTTTATAATAAAAGATTTTTTAAGTGAAATAAAATATTTTCTGTGATTTTCAAATATTATTAATAAAAATGCGATGATTTAGATTAAAGAATAATTAAATATATAATAAAATATTAGAATTTAAGATCGAGTTTCAAAATTATTAACTTTGAAGGATCAAAATAAAAGTTATCAATAAGATATAATTATAATAGATTTGTCCGCTTGCTTATATAATAATAGATTGTCATCAAATTAACATAAATTCTTCAATTTCACAATTTTTGTATTTTTTATTTAATTCAATATTATTTTATTTTAAGTAATATAATTGATACATAAATATAATTAATTTATAAAATATAAAATCTAACTTTAGTGCAGTATTTTATTTCAAATTTTATTTTATGTTTTATTCTATATTTTGTTCTTATTTTGAATATTATTTTTAAGATTTATTTCTTTATTTGATTAACATTTTATTCTATATTATTCATAATTTATTTCATATATAGATTATTCAATATTTGATAAGTTATTCAGTCTTGACTTGATATTTGATTTACTATGTAATTAAAACGTAAAAACAAAAGTGTATTTGAGATTAATTGTCATTACTTAAAATTTTAACAAGTTGACTTTCAAATATTCTAAATCCATTTAATTAAAATATATGCGTATTCAAACATAGCAATTGTTCAATTATGATTGATATTTTTTAATTTTATATTATGGAGGATGATTATAAGCGCGATACCAAAATACGAATAGCATAAAAGTTTTTTTAATGCATTAAATTGATGTTCCTTAACACGAAAACATCTCATGCCCACAAAATTTTAGATATAAAAGAGAGGCAGTATATATATAGTATTCCCGAATATCAATTAATTTTTGTTTGCCTTTTCAGACTGGGTACAAGTTAGAAGGATATAAAACGACGTATTTTACCGGGTAAAATACGGTAGCAAGAATATACATGTACATAAATATTTCTAATATATTGTGAGCATAATTTTACTTAAAATTGCTTTACAGGACAGGTAAGCTTGCCGTCGTTAATTTATTAATAAATTTCTAATTTTAATAAATAATACATGTATAAATTCATTATTTTTCATTCATGTAAATGTTTATCTAATTTCAGTATAAGGCAATACGAAAATGTCTAAATTCTTTAAATTGGGCGAGCTACGATCAAAAATTGTGCAACCATTACTTAATGTGGCTAATTTTTTATGTTCTTTGTTTTTCAAAATGGTTCTTTATAAAGTAAGAATTTCTTAATACATACATGTACGTACTTAATAATGACAAAAATAAGTGTTCATTTATACATTCATACAAGTACATTTGGTATACATGTACATGTAGCAATCTTTCGTCGCACAAAAGTTGAATGTTCTTCGTACCGGAACACCTCACCTAATTATAAAAATAAATTCTATCGTTTCAAAATACATGTACTTCCTCGAAATGGCTGCCGTCATCTTGTCAAACGCTCACCATCATAAGCTTCTTAAACTTTATGAATCTTCGAGCTTTTGTGATATTACAATTAATGTCGGAGATGCGACCACAAATGAACAGAAAACTTTTCATGCTCACTCGGCAATTTTGGTGGCACAATCTCCATATTTTGCTGCCGCGTTGTCTGAAGCTTGGAACAGAAGAGAGGGAAACAACGGACCAATGACCTACAATAAACCTAATATGAAGCCAACGATTTTTGAAGTTATTCTAAGGTTTGGGGTCGTAAAAATTTCCGATGCAGCTTTCTATTATATCAATTCGTAAATAAATTTCGATTTTATGTTTTCAATATTTATGTTTGTTAGATATTTCTATAGTGGAGAAATCAAGCTTGATAATCATGATTTAGAGTTAATTATAGATATTTTGATCGCAGCGGATGAACTATTAGTGGAAGACTTGGTTCAATATATCCAAGTTTATATCACAGAGCATCATGAAAAAGCATTGGAAGATAACTTTTTTCAGATTTATCAACTCGTAACTGAATATCCTTCTTTGGAAAAGCTCCATGAATTTTGCATGGAGCTCGCCTGTAAAAATTCAGAATCTTTATTCAATTCAAGCGAATTCCTTAAACTTGAAGAATCGATGCTTATTTCTTTAATCAAGCTTGATGGATTAAATTTAACTGAAGGTGAAATCTGGGATAAAGTTATTGAATGGGGAATTGCAAAATCTCCCCAACTCTCTAGAACTAACCTAAATCGGTGGACTCCAAACATGTTCAGTCAGCTCAAATCAACACTTCATGAATGTTTACCACATATCAGATTTTTTGACTTCAAGTCGAGTGATTTCTTTGAAAAAGTCCTACCATATTCACAAATATTGAAAACTACATTGTGTGATGATCTAATGAATTATTATTTATATCCCGAAAATAAGCTCGATCTGATTAATATCCGTGGATCCGTCGATTCCTGTCTTTTATCGGACCATCACGTAGAGAGGCTTAAACTCTGGATCGATTGCACTAGTCAACTCTTTTTCAAATTATTGTTGCGTGGTAGCCGTGATGGATTTACGAACAAGGATTTTCATCGGTTGTGTGATAATAAAGGACCAACAGTCGTGGTAATTCGTTTAAAAGATCAGCCAGAAATCATCGGTGGCTACAATCAATTTCCATGGAAATCATATTCATATGATAACAAGAGAACTGGAAAATCAAATAATTTTATTTTTTCGTTTAATCTAGAGCAAATCGACAGGTATACTCTGAGTAGACACGAAAGATCACACAGTATTGTGGAAAATGTTAACACTGGTCCTATGTTTGGAGATAGTGATTTAGTCCTTGCCGGTCCGGATTTCTTGGAGCCAGAGACAAATTATGGTTATAAATCGTCATACGAATATGCTCTGTTATTAGATGATGAGTATTTTAATATGGATGAATATGAAGTTTTTCAAGTAATCTCGAAATAAGGGATTCAGCTTTCTATCTGGTATATTTTTTTATTGTCAATAGTATTTTCGCTTTAGCAGGCTTTTAAAATGGCACATTATAGTCAAAACTAGATATCACAGTCTATAACGAACATTAAATTCTTTAATTTATTATAGATTCGTTATAGTTTAAAAGTATTTTACTGATAGAACTGCCGGCTCTTTATAAATAGTTTTGGCTGTATTATATTCTTATAAGTGTATTTTCTTTTTGTTTCTTTCATTTATACATTATTATTAAATATGCGTATTAGATTTTGTAAAATATCCTGTTTTATCAAAATATGTCGTGTCGCATTGTACATGTAAGGATAACTTTACCGTGAAAGTAATACGAAAGCATTTTTCGTTTGAATAATCCACTTACAGCTATTTGTATTGTTCAATGTTTTATTGTTATGTCATTCACGTCAAACTTATACATTCGTGTTCAACAAACTAGTACATTCGTTAAAATACGTATCTATATGAAATGGCTCATCCACAAAACGAAGGGACATAGTATATAAATAATTCGAACCAGTGTAGAGTTCTAAATTTTACATCTGGTTTTATCCATTTAAAAAATCTAATAAATTCGTCATATGTCCATGTCTTATAGCACGTCTATACCATCTAATTGCTGCATGTGTATCCTGTCTCTCGCAAAATTCAAACCTCGCGAGGTTTCGTAGAGCGCACGGGCACGAATTCTCTGCAGATTTCAAAAACCAGTAATAAGCTCGAAGTAAATCATGTTTCTTATACCAATAAATCTCCGCGATCGTATTTTGTGCATCCCAATGGCCAGCTTCGGCAGCCTTTTTAAACCAAAATTCTGCTTCGCGCACGTTGACTTGTCCGTCGATACCATCTGAAAGAGCTATTGCGTAATAATACATTCCTCCACAATTACCTCGTAGAGCTACTTCACGAAATTGTTCCAATGCTTTCGTCGTATCTCGAGGACAACCGTGACCGAATTCATAACACCAACCTAATGCCAGTTGTGCAATATCTGAACCATTATTCGCTGATTTTTGGTATAAACGAAATGCCTCATCTAGTCTGTTATCTTCGATATAAAAAAATGCTGCCTGATACTCAGAGATAAAAATTCCCTGTTCAGCACCGATCTGATACCATTCGAGAGCTGAATTTTTGTCAACTTTTGTTCCAATTCCATAATGATAAAAAAAACCGAGAAGACTTGAATAAACTGAAGAATTTTCATCTGTTAACATTAATTTAAAAATATATGTTTGATCAAGGTTTCTCTTTCGTAACCAATCTTTAATGTATGGAACAAGCGTAACATCCCCCTGAAAAACTCGTGTTTTTGAATAGTAAATACTTAATAGCTCATCGAGAGTTTGTTTTTTATCATTATCGTTATTTTTAGTTACAATAGAAGTAGCGGTATCCATAGTTGACATGGATAAAAGTTTTTATCAAATGAAAATGTAAATAATGCAGATTAGTGTCCAAATGAAGAATTTGCGGGTTTATAACGTGATTCGTGTGCTAATTTTTTACATGATTACAAAAAAGGGCATGCATAACGATAACGATAATCAAAAGAAATTAAAAATCGGCGCGATATCTCGACACTTAATGGTCCAATATGGATAAAAACAGAACTATTCTAGTTTTCTAATCTAGGCGAATAGAATTGTTCTATTTTTTGTCCAAATTGGACCATTGGATATCGCGTCTCAAAGTTACGGATTTTTTAATTTTTTTAAGTTTGATCCATCATAATGATGGACACTAATACGGGACAAACCATTTTTGTTACACATTGACCTTGCGATTTGATTGGTTTGCCCCTTAAACCGATCCTCCGATGCCTCCGATGCCTCCGATCTAAATTACCGGTTATTGTTGACCCTAAATTTTTTATTTTTTCTTTAAGCAAAATTTGTTGTTAAATCTAAATATGATACCTATCATATTCAGTTAACATTGACAAGGATAAAATAGTAATTTTAATAGAGGCATCAATCTGTAAAATGCCATTAGAATGTGATAATACGAAATGGATAGCAAAGAAACGAAAAGATCAAACAAGTGAGTAAGCTAGCAAGAGAAAAAGCCTGATATAATGATTCGTGCATTTTTTAAAGGAAAAAAATGCACATTCAAAAAGATAACTTGAGCCATTGGTAATAAATGATCTGTGCAAAAGCTTACTGAATGTAATTTCGTCCCATTTCATAATATAATATGTTCATTAATTTAAGCAAACAAACATTTCAGCAAAATAACACTTGCTCCAGATTGGAAAGAAGTCACGAAATATATTTGAATAGAGAAAATCAACAATTAGAGACCATAAATATCTGCAAGTCATTGGAGAACAATATTCAAAAGTGTAAAAGCTTCCAAAGATCATCAAAATCTCAATGCCACTCTATAGGAATCATGACCCATATCAAATTCAACTAGATAATAATAACCAGAAAAACTACTTAATATGAACTAGTTCCCACGCATGCAAAAAAGGTCGGGTCATGTGATTTTGTATGTACGGAAAAATTTATACGGTAATAGAGGTTATTATTAAGGTTTAATTTAACAATTAGATTAGACGTCAAGATTATATGTAAAATTGTCTTCCAATATTTTTTACACATCATTAGCATGTGATCAACCCTTTTTGCATGATTAAGTACCAATCCCAAATGATAATATCCATATTGGGTCAGCTAAGAAACTGTCTTACATGATTATAATCAGTTTTGATCTTGTTAGACTATACTTATTTAATTATCTTAATAATTGGAGAGGGGTGTTCGCAATCTATAGTGACTCACTAAAGAAATAGAACACAGAAAAAAAAATGATGAGATTTGAATATCTCACCATTGAAGAATTATCGGAGACCAAAAGAAAGTGGATTTTATTCATTAAAATAATCACAATAACTTAATACAATTTTTATTTTCATCTATTTTTTGAAATTAAACTAACTTGAATTTCCAATTTTTTTAGCATTCCGTCCATTATGACTGATTGGAAGGACAATATTTAAAGGCAAGTTTCTTCTTAAGGAAATATCAGCTATTGTTAAAAAAACCATATTACATATTGCTAAACTAAGACTATTATTCTATATACCCATCTCTTGCCTGTATCATATCATTGACCCTTTCTGGCATCAAATTGATCAACTTTTTATAAAAGACAATTTTGATACTTCTCCAAGCAATTTGTAGCTTTTTTCACAAATTAGTTTTATCTAAAAGTGGATCAGGAAGATTTCATAAGCATTTATTAACTTTGTTCCATAAATTTTTGATTGAATTTAAGTTAGGGGACTGGGTGGATCAATCAGGAAAAGTGATATTATTATTCTTGAACTATCACTTGGCTTTTCCAGATATATGTTTTGAGTTATTATCTTGCTAAAATATGAATTTACTATCTTTTAGCATTTTCTTATAAATTATATCTAAAAAATTATTATTTAATATATTAATGTAAATATTAATATCTATTTTGCTATCAATTTTTCAGAATTTATCAACTCCATTAGCAGTTAGACAATCCCAAACCATAATGAAACTGTCACTAAATTTTATGATTGGAGTAATATGATGATTTTTTAATTATTTACCAGGCTTCTTCCAATATCATTTGTATTTATCTGATCCAAATAATTAGAACTTGCTTTTATCAGATCAAATTATTTTCTGCTAGTCATTAGCCATCTAATCTTGGTATTTTTTATCCATTTTAGTTAGAGTTTTTTGTATATTTTTTTAAGTAATGGCTTTTTTCACTTAATTCTTATAAATAAATTATTTCTTCTAAATATATATCATATATTTTTTACTGAAATTTTAACTTCCAGTTCAGCTTGGAGCTTATGTTAAACTTGAATAGTGATAGTACATTTTTCAGATGATATTAATCAGATGGCATTTTATTCATAATAATCTAAAAGAATATATAGATAACCAGTTTTTAACTTATCTTTAAAGTTTCTGATTTCTTCTTTATTTTTGCAGATATATTAGACTGAAGCTAAGCCTATCTATTCTAATAATAGACTGAATATTCTTCTTGTCAAAGAGTGTATATTTGAGAGTATTTTTTTAGTAAAATATGAGGTATTTTGAAATTAAAAAATGATTAGAATTATTATTTAGAATAAAAAAAAGTATTTTATAGATATTGTAATAGAAAAAAAACTTTTATATTTATATTTATAAGCCTGAACTTTTTTGTTCAAATTGGTTATATTTTACAGAATACTAAAAAAATTTAAAAAAATTATTAACTTGTAAAGTAAAAGATAGATAAAAATAAAATATGTATTAAATGATTATAATTATTTTAATAAATAAAATTCACTTTCTTTTGATCTCTGATGATTCTTCAATAATGAGATATTCAAAACTTGCCATTTTTTTCCATATTCTATTTCTTTAGTAAGTCATTATATATAAGAAAATATAAAATATATATAGTTAATGTTAAGTAAATGGAATTTTATTTTCCATTCTTCATATATTTTTTCATTACTTCAAGTAACTCTGGCCACATTTCTTTTAAAAATCTAGCTAATTCAGATAGTGAGATAGTAATTATTTCTTTATTAAGATCATTAATATCAATTGATCTAAACTAAAAGCAATAGCTTAAATTAGCTATTGAAATAAACTTGGCAAGATTAACAAGTCTTAATAAGAAGATGATTAACTTATATAAGATGTTATCTTTATTAATTTTATTTTTAACTATTTTTATGATTACCCATTCATCTTTTGAGTTTTTGCAGATTTACTTGAAGAATATTTAGAAACATATTCATCTCTTTAACTTAATCACTTATAAAACAATCTAATTTTTAAAAAATTCATAATTTTATCCATTTTTTTGATATTATTTATATTATTTTTTGTTCTTGTTTGAGAAAACTGAATAAATCACTGAAATTATGAAATATTTCATCTAATAATACTATATTTTTATAAATTTTGAAAAAATCAAGATTTATTTCTGTTACTATAATGTAATTCTTTTATTTTTTAATAATTGAAATAATTTTTTCTTGAATTTATAAATTTTTATTATTGATATAAATTGCTTGATTAATTTTAGTATTAGAATTATTGATTGGCATATACTATAAATAAAAAAATCTTTTAGAGAATAAGAATAATTTTCTTCATTAATTTCTTTAAAAAAGATTTTTTAAAGAATTCTTAGAAAAATCAATAATAGATTATATACTTGATCAATTTCTATACAAATTAAATATAAAAGTATTTACTAATTGTACTATTTTTTATCTGAGTCAGATTGTGAGTATCTTACTAAGATCAAGTTAAAGTTATTTGTTGAATAACAAATATACAATTTATAAATACTGCTCCAATATTTTCAGTAAGCAAGTGAAAAGTCTAAAATTTTAAAGAAAATTCATGTTTCATATTATTAATTTCAGCAAATAATTTGAATAATTCATTATAATATTCTTTTGAACATATAAAGTATGGAAATTGATATCAATTTTTAACAAAATTTTTAAAGTAATTGATCTAATATTCATTAATTAAAATTGCTTGCATGACTTTTATTAATAAAATAATAAAAGAATCATTAAAATTTTCAATAATATTACCAAAATAATAACAAAACTTGCATATTATTCTGGTTTTCCCATATATTTTCTGAATCAGAATAATCTTCCTATTTTATTAAGTAATTAAATATTCTCTATTTAAAAAAAAATTCTATTATGAATACTATATATATCAAATCACAGAATAAGAAATAAAAAAATTAATACTTACATTTTCTGATAATTGATAATTCAAAATATTCTGCATAACATATATGATACATTTCTCTCCTCATATATTTCTCTTTCTTGTACTCATTTTTTTTAGATTTTATTCTGTATTATTAATATATAAACTATTATAATAGAAAAAGAAGCACTAGCAGTAATATGAACTGTTAAATAATTTCATTATTACATACTAGAAATTGTATTTGAACTAATCACTAATCATAATGCCTTGAGATGGTTATTTAAAAATCAACAAAGTCACTCTGCTAGAGTAAATATAATATGGATATTTTTATATATATACACTAATGATCAATAAATATTATTTTATCAAAATATACACAGTCTATATATATAATATGTGTATATTACATACAGAATATAAAAAACTAATATATATTTATAATAATTACTGTACACATCTTATATTGATATACAATATGTAGTTTTAGAAATTAGTATTGGTATTGCCAATCTAAAGTAAAAGTGTAAAATTTTATAAGAATTTACAAAAGAAAGAATCTCTATACTTCGAAATAAAAAGATTATAAAATAGAATAAAGTAAAATTATTATGTAAGACAAAAAAATGAATTTTTTAAGAAAAATTTAGTAATTTCTATGAATCATGAAA